ATTGCATTGATTATGTTATAACATGCTTGGAATTTGATGTTGGAAAAAGTTGATATATGCATATGATATCTTAGCATTGAGGTTGTTGATGGTGATTATATGTTTATGAGATAATTTACCATAGAAAAGGTTGTTGGATATTGAATTGTTAATAATGTGCTCATGACATATTGAACATGGTATTGTAATTACAATTGAGACCCTAGTTGCATAATGATATGAAATACAATTGAACATTCATATTGCATAAACACGGGAAGCATCAAATTCGTAGGTGTTTGGCATGAGTGTGGGTGTGTGTGCATAGTTTGATCAAACACCATTATTGGTGAATGATACGTAGGCTCGGGATAGTAGAACTGAGGTTCAATTGAGCCGTACGGTTTGCATTGAAAATAGGGTCGGGATTAGCAAGAAATGTTAGATTCTCCTGGGGTGCAAGACTCAGTGCTTCAAATACGCACTCTATTTGTATTGAATCCATAAAGTGTGTCGGCGTACGCAGAGCCATTGGTGGAAATCCATTAATGTCGTGTCAGTTAGGTACCCGTTGGTATGAGTCCATAAATACCCATCCTAAGAAAAACCCAGAATTTAAAAAGTTCATTGGATGTGTAATATCAATGGTGGGGGTTTGGACTGCCCAGATTCATATGCATAGCATTGCATGTGTTAAGGGAGCCGGTAAAGGTTCGGGTTAAGTTGCATGTGTGAGTCGCATCTCATATCATGACAAATTGCATATTCTTGAATGAAGTGATTGTTGCTTGCGAATTGTATGTGAACATTTCATATGCATCTAGGTTAGGGAGCAGTCTCTTTAGAAGATACCTAATTGAGCGTGGCTCACCCTTTATGAGGACAATATTTCAAGTGCAGGACATGCGCCGATGGACGGCTCTCATTTAGGCCCTCATTGATGAAAAAAAACTGAAATGTGACTTTTAAACTATGCTTTTGTAAAACTAAGATGTCAATTAACTTTTAGACATGTAATGTATATAAAGGATTGTAATCGAACTCATATGGACTATTTTTAATGTAAAATTACATGTTGTTATATGAGTATGAATAAATGGACCCGATGTGGTCAATGTTATATGATTGCATAGGTTATGTTTTGGGTAGAGCTTTCTGTACAAAGGAGACTTTGCCTGAATTTTGTGAAGTTATGGATCCTGGTATATGGGGCATAATGGCGTGGTATCGAGTTTGAGTTACACGATATCTACAGGTATTTCGCAGGTTGATGAGTGATCAACGGGATAATTATGGACATCCAAACTTTGGGGCGTCGCATTAAAAAACCTATCCATCCCCATTACGTCATAATAGGGTCAATTTCATGTATATAATTGTGTCGAGAACTATCCTAACAAACTTGTCAAACTATACAATTGTTTTCCAAAAAAAATAGGGAAGTGTATTAGATAGAAGGGATGTGATGTGTTCGATCAATATAAATAGGTCAGTACATTTCTCATATGTTCTAATGAATTCAAAAATAAAATATTTAGTTTAGGGGATTAGTGGGCCATTAATTTTCTAAAAATAAAAAAGATTTGGACCACTATACAAAGTTTCAAGAAATTTGGGGGCCAATGTATTCAATTAAACAAAATTATGGTCTCATACCAGTAAATATATCAAAGCATACCGGGGGTGGAGGGATGCTTTTGGTCTCGTTGATACGTGGCTCCACTAGTATTCATTTCAATTCATTTTTAACAAGTCTAAGTAGTCGAATATTTATCACCCAAATTCATTAATGTACCTAAACTCATGAATTCTTTGCCGGTTTTGTGACATGTTCACATGTTGCGTCTAAAATTGGTAGGCCTAATAACATGTCTTGCAGTTGAAATATTTTAAAATATACATTTTTCATAGATTATCCAATAAAAAAATGTAAAATATTTATTTAATTGAGTCAAATGTCACCTTATTTTTGCCAAGCTTATATCTATGTCACCAATATCATATTATGATATTAAATTGTTTTAAGCGTAAATAATGTAACAAGAAAAAAATAACTAATACATAGTTAATGTTCTATTTGTGTTTTGTTTTTTACTTTTACATGGTGGGGCTTGAGGTATTAAAGAAAAAATTGCACTTCCCCCGAGTTTAACATTATTTTCAACAATTGATCTCCCATGTTAGATATATCAAAAGCAAACGATTTTAACTTAAAATGAACCGCTATTTAAATTGAGCGAAGTTTTTCAAATGTTATACAACTATTTTTTCTAGTTACATGATTGTCCTATGTATTACCAATTCTGCTATTGAAATTAATGCACGAGTTTTCAAAGGGATAATCATTGCTACTATCCATTGTTGTAAGCTATACTCAATTCAACTCGTATATGACATCGGCTACATTGACGAATGAGTTGATCATTTTTTTCATGTCATATCTGATTTTTAAGTCACTTCATCTAGACTTAGACCAACTTGACTAATGTAACTCAGAATTCAACTAATTAAAAAAATAATTAAATAAGTGTTTAGATATAATAGCGGTAAGCAATGACGTAACTATCTTCAATGACAGTCTCAAGGGACCATATTGGTACAATGTATGAGATTTGAGAACTAAATTTAAATTTTTCAGAAGAAAATTAACTAGTTGTAAACATCAAGGATTATTGGTACAAGTTACTAATTTGAGCATAGATTTGACACTAATCTATATAATAAAGTACAATATAAAAAATAATTTTTATTTTTTACGGTTAAAATCATTTTAAATTTTATTTTAAAATTAATCTAACGATTAATATTAACTTCTTAAATTTAATAGAGAAAATAAGTCTTGTAAGAATTTATTTGAGAAAACTTTTCAAAAGTACTCGTAAGACTTATGATTTCTCATAAACACTTATAACAAAAGTAGTATTTAGAATAACTTATTTTAATTACTTTCAAATGGGTCAAAAGTAATAAAAGTAAAAAAAAAAATTAATAATAATAATAAATTCTACTTCTTTAAAATCACTTCTCTACAAAACACTTCACCACTACGGCCGCCGCCACTAATGCCGCCACACCACCGCATCGCCCCACCCCCACCCCCCCCCCCATCACCATCACCATCACCACTACCACTACCACCACCATCTTTGCCACAACCGTCATCGCCACCATTACCACCACTAATTGTTACCACCGTCGCCCCCCACCACCACCAATTGCCACCATTGCCACCCCTCCTCCAACATCATCATTTCATTCTTATATTTATTACCATTACCATCATTACCCCACCTCCACCATCACCCATCATCGTCGCTACCCACTGTCATCCACCCCACCACACCTATCACCCACACCCATCATCGCCCACCACCGCTGCCACCCACTATCACTCATTGTCACCCCCCCCCCCCACCAACCTACCACCACCATCGCCATTGCCCACCACTACAACCCACCAAACCTACCACCCCCCACTCGTCATAACCCACCACCTTTGCCACCCACCCCCCACCACACATACTCCACCGTCGCCATTCGTCACCACCACCACAACCGTCATCCACAAGCATCCTTTGTCGCCCACCACCACAACTCACCACTGCCACCACCACCATTGTTGCCCACACTACCACTGCCAACCACCATCACCGTCATCCACCACCACCCACAGCCACACCCATCACTGTCACCGCTGCCACCCATGACTGTCACTATTACCGTCGTCACCCAAAACCCACCACCATCATCACCGTTGTCACCCAGGCTGTCAACACCACCACAGTTGTCGTAACCCACCACCACCACTACCACTAGTTACCTCCATTACAATCGATACTTACATTTTTTTCTCTCATCTATATTTTTCATTTGATTTTGGGTGTGAATATAATATACTTTCATGATTGTAATTTTGTTATTACTCCGTGTCTTCAAGCATGAACAATAACTATAATTTTAGAAAGAAAAATTTTCATTTACACCTCTTGCATAGTGTTATATATTCATGGACACCCCATGTATTATCTGAAAACTTCACTAACACATCATGTAAAGTGTTTTTTAGATAACGGGATTAACATAAATGTCATTTTACGAAAATTCCCCATTATATAATTTAAACACAACAATAATTCATCCACATCCCTCGCATAATAGAATATCTTCACGGANTTAGATAACGGGATTAACATAAATGTCATTTTACGAAAATTCCCCATTATATATTTTAAACACAACAATAATTCATCCACATCCCTCGCATAATAGAATATCTTCACGGACACTTCATATACTAGTTAGTGCACATGTGTGTTGCACGTGAACCATTTTGAATTGTAATTTTTATGTATATTTTTTGTAACAGAGTGCTGCTTGGCCAAATTATTTTTAAAAGAAGTTATATTTAAGCCTAAATAATAAGCTAGACTCCAACTTAAAGAAACATAACCTTTCGGTAGCCAAACTTGTTTGTTAATATCCAAGACCAAATTTAACAAATTCCTAAAACAGCAAATGCAATCATAGCTCACATTAACTTAACAAGCACCTCGTTTTTTTACTAATACAACGAAATTCACATCTTGCTAAGTCATAACTTAATTGGTTTTCAAAACTATAATTCATTAGCATTATAATTATCCGAAATCCTAAAAACTCATACANATATTCACATCTTGCCAAGTCATAACTTAATTGGTTTTCAAAACTATAATTCATTAGCATTATAATTATCCGAAATCCCAAAAACTCATTCATGCTTCCAAACAATATATGTTCTAATGATAGAGGACTTGTTTGCATCGCATAAAAAAACGTAATTTAAAGATACTATCAAGAATATCATAAAATTACGTAAAAAGTTGATTTGCTCCATTAATTGCTTGTTTACTCTTGGCCGATGATCTGGTTTGAGGTTCTATTTATCAATAACATTATTAAGCTTCAGAGTTCAAAGAGGAAAGGATTAACAAGAAAAGCAGACTAAAGAAATTGGAAATGACATTTTTTATGACACATACCAAGACCTAGAAGAGATATAAGACACATCATTGCTGCTATGGTGATCAATGCAGATTGCCTGCAACAAAGATACCTGGCTATTAACATGGGGAGGTTGATAAAGCCTTAGTTATAGTCTTAAAGTACATAGTAAATACCATCCGAAGGAATTTTCTTGATCCTACTTTATTGATTGCAATATTTTATATAAATAGTGCATAACAAGAATCTAAATTACAAAAACTGATGTCCCTTTGATAAAATATATTGCTCATAATTTCGATAATCATAATTTAAACTTAAGTATCTTTATTGTCTGGAAAATATCCACTTAGTAGGCTAGTGCTATCAGAAAATGTCCGATAAACACACTAAAACAACCACATCATAAGCAACAACTGATTGAACAATTAAATTGGACAAAACGTATGTTAGCATTTTTTGTCATTAATTAATTAACATACCAAGACTTAAAATCTTTATTACATCAAGCCTTAATAGGAGTGGTTTAGAATATTCTCCTTCTTCTAACTACCATGGCCACTGTTGTTGCTTCGGCAACCAAAATTTTTCCACTGCTTGTGAGCACAGAAGCCACAAATGAAGAACCTCGCAAAAAAGCTTGAATCACAAATCTATACACAACACAAACTTTAGCATATTAGAATCAATAGATTCTTAAATTTTCAAACAAGGATATCTGTAATTGTTGGGTGAACGTGAAATTTATCAATGTGCAAAGTATAAAAAAAGCTACTTCATTGGCATCCAAAATTTCTTCACCGAACTATTAGACTTTTCTAAAAGATCTTTGCCTGCTGAGTCAAGCATCAAGCCCGATGGGATTGCAAAGAAAAAGCTTTTAACAATACTACAATAACTGTAACAGAATTGTTGAAAATCATGAAAATTTCTTTGATTCTCAAACCTATTAAATCAGTTTGTGACGAATCTGTCGAGTGTTTTTGGAGCCATCTAGATGTTCTCTTTCTGTTCAACACAAGGCCACCTTAATTTCTTAAAAGATGGCCTCAGTCAATCAGGAACCACACTCAAGCGTAGAACTAATAAACATTCAGGTTAAGTTAATTGATATCCAAAATTCAAAGTTACAACAACACGTGGAGCAGAAGCAAACAGTTTCAACACACAGTATACAACATGTAAACATTAAGCAACGAATGGGGTTCAAAAATTCAAGTGAAAAAGCACAATTGGGCAATAGGTAATTGTGTACCTTAGCATTTTTGCCAAAATTCTTTCCTGAAGATTCCAATTGAACCAGGTCCACAAACATCATGGGTCATTAAAACATCAACATTGACCCAGACATTCTCACCGGGGTTCAATTGGGGCTTCTCAAAAGCCCTGGCGAAGATCTTCTCTGGCATCATCATCGTTTTCTTGACCTAATAATCAAGATTAGTCACAAACCCACCATTAAAGTTCACCAAATTATCAAACCATTTTCCAAATAATTTTAACCTGAAAACAAGAAATGAAAAAAAAAATTAGAAAAAAAACCCAACTGAGCCAGTGGTGGAAATTAAGCTTGCGTCCAAATTGTTGTGGTGCCATGACAGATAAAATTTTCCTGGAAACTCTTTTCCTGGAATTCTGGGTGGAAAATGAGGGTTGTGCAGAAATTGAAGAGGCCTACGCAAAACAAGGGACAAGTAGATCCCTCATAAACAAATCTAATATGTGGAGGATGCTCTATCTTGGTGAGTACCCAAACTGAGTAGATAAGCAACATCCAAAATATACAAAAAGTATAACCCAGATCAAAGCTATTTACAAAAAGGGACTCTCATATAAAGCAGCAACTGGGAAGAAATCATTTCTGGGCAAGGCTTTGATTGTGAGATGTATTCTTGAATCTCAAAGACACTTTATCCCTTATGGTGTGTAGAATGGTCTCCAACACAGAGAGACAGTCCCTCGCCTAGTTTGTATGAACTCTAAGGTTCCTTTCCATCCATATGTAGTAAACAGCAACAACCAGGCTCACCGAGAAGACACCTTCGTTTTGGGCTCAATCCTTACGTGTCAAGATTGTTGAATGATCTTTGAGATAAAGAATATGAAAAGTTAGAATGAGTCACTAGCCCAACGACCAACACAGAGTGTGTTTGCAAAGGTCACAATTAATGCACATAGTATTAATGAATCCATTAACTTAAAAGGAGTAGTGTGGCCATTATTTAGTATATGTTGAGGTTAATTTATGCAATCGAATGATCTTTGATATATAGAACTAATTATTGTACATAAATGCATAAAGTAATAAAAAAATAATCAACAATAAATATATATGTATTCATAGTTAAAATCAAATCACAAATATAAATGAAAGAGAAAGGAATTTAAGTACCAATTATAATGGGAGTGAGTGATGGTAATGACGGTAGGTGGTAGTGGTGATGGTCATGGGGGTAATGGTGAGGGAGGTAGGGGTGATGGTAGGACAGTGGAGGTGACGGTGGCGGTGGGGGTAATGGAGATGGTGGTGGTTGGACGGTAGGGGGGTGGGAGTGCGAGTGGTGGTGGTTGTGGCAAAGGTGGTGGTGGTGGTGGTGGAATGACGACGATGGAGGTGATAATGGTAGTGGTAATGGTGGTATTGGTAGTGGTGATGGTGGTAGTGGGGGGTAGTTTGGAGGTGTGATGGGGTGGGGTGGCGATGGTAGTGGTAATGGTGGTGGGGTGGTAATGGTGGTGGCGTGGTGGTGGTGGTGGTGGTGATAATGGTGGGACGATGGGGGTGGTGGTGATAGTGGTGGTTCCAAACACTATTTTTTTTTTAAAGTAATTATGAAAAATTATAAGTACTAGTTGATGCCCACGTGCATTGCATGTGGACAATTGTAAGGATGAAATATTGTATACTAAGAGCCTGAACTAATTTTTTCGAACTCCAATTGTTTGGCAAATATAATGGTAGGCATAATGTTNGATAAGCAACATCCAAAATATACAAAAAGTATAACCCAGATCAAAGCTATTTACAAAAAGGGACTCTCATATAAAGCAGCAACTGGGAAGAAACCATTTCTGGGCAAGGCTTTGATTGTGAGATGTGTTCTTGAATCTCAAAGACACTTTATCCCTTATGGTGTGTAGAATGGTCTCCAACACAGAGAGAGTCCCTCGCCTAGTTTGTATGAACTCTAAGGTTCCTTTCCATCCATATGTAGTAAACAGCAACAACCAGGCTCACCGAGAAGACACCTTCGTTTTGGGCTCAATCCTTACGTGTCAAGATTGTTGAATGATCTTTGAGATAAAGAATATGAAAAGTTAGAATGAGTCGCTAGCCCAACGACCAACACAGAGTGTGTTTGCAAAGGTCACAATTAATGCACATAGTATTAATGAATCCATTAACTTAAAAGGAGTAGTGTGGCCATTATTTAGTATATGTTGAGGTTAATTTATGCAATCGAATGATCTTTGATATATAGAACTAGTTATTGTACATAAATGCATAAAGTAATAAAAAAATAATCAACAATAAATATATATGTATTTATAGTTAAAATCAAATCACAAATATAAATAAAAGAGAAAGGAATTTAAGTACCAATTATAATGGGGGTGAGTGATGGTAATGACGGTAGGTGGTAGTGGTGATGGTCGTGGGGGTAATGGTGAGGGTGGTAGGGGTGATGGTAGGACAGTGGAGGTGGAGGTGACGGTGGTGGTGGGGGTAATGGAGATGGTGGTGGTTGGACGGTAAGGGGGTGGGAGTGCGAGTGGTGGTGGTTGTGGCAAAGGTGGTGGTGGTGGTGGTAGTGGAATGGCGACGATGGAGGTGATAATGGTAGTGGTAATGGTGGTATTGGTAGTGGTGATGGTGGTAGTGGGGGGTAGTTTGGAGGTGTGATGGGGTGGGGTGGCGATGGTAGTGGTAATGGTGGTGGGGTGGTAATGGTGGTGGCGTGGTGGTGGTGGTGGTGGTGATAATGGTGGGACGATGGGGGTGGTGGTGATAGTGGTGGTTCCAAACACTATTTTTTTTTTAAAGTAATTATGAAAAATTATAAGTACTAGTTGATGCCCACGTGCATTGCATGTGGACAATTGTAAGGATGAAATATTGTATACTAAGAGCCTGAACTAATTTTTTCGAACTCCAATTGTTTGGCAAATATAATGGTAGGCATAATGTTAGATAACAACCAAAAGACTAAATATAATGTTACGCGTTTCTTCGTTAGGCCTACTATTGTGGGCACTTGCTTTCTTCTCTCAAAACATAACAGTTGCAATAATTATGTTTACTTGCAGAGTTGTATTTTTCAAATTACTTAAAACATTTTTGGAAATGACCTGTAAAGCAACAATAATCGTGTGTAGTGTATTGTAATGAAGTGAAATCACTTTGACCTTGATGGTGGGCAACAACAAATCAGTCACATTCTCCCAAAAGCGGAACGGAGGAATACATTAAAAGAGCCTTGACAAAGAAACCTTTTTAATTACATTATGACATGTTGAAACTACCAAATCCAGATCAATGGGAAAAGTCATGTGAATCTAGGTTTAGGCATGGATGAACTATCATGATGCCTTGGAGCAAGCTTTTGAATTCAATAAAGATTCCTTTTCTTATGATCATGACATGTTTGGTTTTGTACCAGAAAAAGGGTTCCATCTCGGGCAAGTGATGACTCGAACTATTTTAATACCTTCACCACATGTCAGAACTCGGGCCTCTTCTCGGGTTTCAGAGACCAACATTTCTCAATTAAAGCTCCCATGGCAGGAGGACAGTCCCTAGGGAAAACTGGTCTCAAATTCTGAAAAATCTCAAACGCTATCAGATATTACATGATATAAGACTTCTTAATCCTTTGTAATTTGCAAAACTGAGGGGAAAATATCTACTAATAATATCTACCAAAAATGAGAGAGAACAAAAAAAAATCTATATTATCTACTGGATGATTCACCCATACATATATTAAACCATGAGAAGTTATTACAATTACCAATGGCGAAACAAAGATGCTAAGAGATCACGCAGCTTCTTGCTTTGGGATTAAACTTTGTTATGCTGTGACATATTTATCCAAAAGGAAAAACAGTTCTTTTTAATCCTTCTGGCAATTAAATAGGAAGTAATAAATACAATAACCATTCCAAGCACATTCAATAGCCAGTCACTAATGGCACAACCCTAACATAGCTATTAGGGGAACGGATATGGCTTATAGCAAGAAGACACGACTTAAAAGAAAAACGTCAAACATCATCAGTCACCAAAAGATTATGAAGCACAAGTAGCCAAACTAACCAGAACAATATTTGTAAACTTACCATGTCTAGAGGTTCCCTGCTTGAATGCAGTAAATCTCTTCCCACTCCTATGAGTTATACCATAGTAAATTTGTGGCTTTAGTTCATTTTGTAAATTCAAAGAGGTTTAACTATCATCCTCCTCTCGAAAACACCCAAAAGAAAGGGGGGCTAAGAATTTTTTCGATTTAAATTCAAACATGACAAACATATAGCTACAATTAACGCAAGTGCACAAGGCACTTGGCACTGTGGAGACTAAGGAGGGTTAGATGACGATAGGAATTATGAAGAATTATTAAAAAAAAGAAAACATGAAAGTGAGGAAGGTACTTTATTCACTACAGCAAAAGCAGCTTGGGTGGGTGTCATATCCTCATAAAGTATAGTTTCAAATACCATTTTTCATAAAATGAGTTCAAATCCGTATAAATCAGCCTTACGACAATAGGACTTACGTTTGATCATCTCAGGTGGCATCCAACGATAATTACCTGGGTCATCTGCCAGAAGATCACGGTATACCTCCTCACAAGCAATTCCAAAATCAGCAATTTTCAGTTGGAATTCTTGATTAATAAGTATATTCTCAGATATGAGGTTCATATGAAAAACACCTTGCGAGTGTATGTACTCCATTCCACAAGCTATATCCAAAGCCAAAGTGGTTAATTCTTGTAAGGGAAGAGATTTTTGCTCAAGCTTGTGCAAGAATGCCCTCAAAGACCCCTCTAAGAGATATTCTATGATAACACAATAAACGTTTGACTTTCTGCGTGCTGCTACAAACTGCTTCATGAAAACATAACGTAACAAATTAGAAGTTACCGGTGCTTAAACAACTTCATATAATTTAAATAGTTCTTCATAGAAGAATTGCATCCATAAGTTATAACTAACTATGTATCAAGACATATGGAATCGGAACAGAGCTAACTCCTAGCAACAGGACTTCCACAACAAATTAAGAGAAAATATTGATTGATCTACAAGCTAGAAGCACATAAATATGAAAGTGGGCAGAAAAAATTGATTACCTTTATGACATTCTGATAGTGGAGTCGGCACAAAAGAATGACTTCCCTATTGAATTGTCTCTCTAACCAAGCTGCTAAGTCCACATTTTTGTCATCATCTGGAACCCTGATAATTTTAATGGCAACAGGTTCATCCTTATATATCACATGGAAAAGCTGAGTATGTGCCCTTCAGCCTAGGAAAGTGAAGTCATCCACCCCTGTAGATGGAAAAAAGGAAAAAAAGGGGACAAAATCAAACTTCAAAGCCAAGAAATGGGTACTCGAGGATAAAAGGACAAAAAACTGGCCAAGGTCGTAAAAAAGTTTATGGGACCTTTTAATTACTTCACCATTTATACTTTACAATTTTGCCTCATCTTTACTTTATTGAATTCATAAAGATTATACTTTCTATGATTTTTTGTCTTTTGTCTATTAATAGTATGTCCAATATAAAGTTATCATACAATACAGTTCATTCGAACAAGAAGTGAAAATGTGATCAAAAAAAGAATAGGAAGTGAAAATAAATAAGTTTACAATAGTCAAGAAGATGCGACATTATATTGATGTAACATTGTCAACCCACCCCTACAGCCATCCTTCAAAACAAAACTAAGCTAACAAAAAAGGGCAGAAATTTAGCCCAATAATCAGTAAATAGCATAACTATTCAAGTTGCTCCTTACCCTACAATTTTTTCAATCAAAGCTTCCCAGATTAATGAACTACGGCATAGAGTATAAAATAGGTTGCTAACAACTTATACTTTCTGCCAAGATCTATCATATGCAATCATACCTTCTGCCTATGACGTTTATCATCCAAGAGAGCACCCACTTCTGCAAGAAATAAGACTTTTAAAGGCTTTTATACAGCCATCAGCAGATAGGCCGTTTGGTTTCCAACAATGGTAACCCCATGCAATAAGATTATTCTAAATTTCCTATCTTGCATTTGCACAAGAGCCTTTGGTTGCTCCCAACACTTATAAAGCTTAAAGCCTATAGTTCTAGAGTAGGAATCCTGAAATTATACATTGACATATCATCTAAAAGTTACCACTGCACTTGGTAACTAATTTGATCATGGATTCTAACACTAAGTCTCTCTAGGATTGCATCCAAATCTCTTGTATAAGACCGATACTGTATAAGCAAAAATTAATTGACCATGTAAAATTTTTATGACATCAGTCGCTTTCTAGATTTTTAAATTATTCTTTTAAGCAATAGATGGATGAAATTACACTACACAGTAAGCTAGAAACCATTTGGCTTGCAAATAGGCCTGTCAAATTTCTAGGCAAGCTAATGACCAGTGGACAAATAATTTTCACTATACTAATTGATTATATGCCTTGGCTTGGTTAAATTTTAAACTATTGGTTACACAGTCCTATAACAGGTTTATCGGGCCTTTGATTTAATGGTATTTCTTGCCTTATAAAGATTTTGTCTTTTTGAAATTAAGGGTTCAAGTCTCCCTTTACTTTCTACCTCCCCTAAAAAATGAAATATATATATATGAATAGGTCACATATTTTTCCAAAATTTGGACAAAAGGCCCAAAAATGCATGCAGCAAAAGCACAATTAATAAGCACTAAAGTCATCAACTATTTCTTGTGTTGAAGTCCTAAAAGAGAAAAGACATATACTTGGTAAAGAATTTTAAAAAAGCATCAAACCCCAAACCGAAAGGGGACAAACATAAAACAAAATAGACTAAGGAACTCATGATGAGAATATAGTTTTCCAATTTATTCATCATGACATAAATCGATGGCATGTTGACAGTAAATAAAATTATAATAGATAAAATTGGTGGCATACATATTATTTAAGCCAATAAGAAATAAGCAAAGTTTAGACTATATCCAAAAAACAATGCCCCCAATCAAAACCAAAAAGGAAGACTTACAAACCAAATTTACAAGAATAAAAACCAAATTGTAAAGCAGTTTGTGTGCATGCTTCTTGCTATAATGGTATGACATTTAACCACTTCATTAAAAAACACGAATAAAAATTATACACAAAATGGAAAAATTTTTGTAAGACCCTGTATTAAAATTAAATAAGAATAATATTATCTTAATAGTTCCTCTAAGATTAAGAAAATGATGGTAGAAACCTTGAATCATTGTTAAAAGAGTGATCATGAAATTTGAGTTTCGAACGAATTGATTTTAGGGTCAAACTTAGTTTCGAAGGTGTGTTAGCTTAAGAAGGGTGATTAGATAAGTTTTTAAATGCTTTCAGGTCAAAATAATGCCTCCATTGAATCTGGAAGGTCGAAAAACATTGGGAGAGATAATATGGGGTGTATTAAAAGTTAGGAAGTATTTTGAAATTAAAACCTATTTTGGAGAGGATTTTGGTAGAAAGGAATTGATACTACCTTAGTATTTTGGCCATAAATTTCCACTCATAACTCTAAGTGATTGATTGTTGGACAGGCGACACTAGACTTCAAGGACTACAAAAGTATATTTCAGGGAAATTTTTCAAATCGACCTCTAAATAGGCCAAAACTACGCTGGAAGTTTCAGCAGACAAAGTGTACCAGTAAAGCGTACGGGTACGGCGTACCGGTACTTCGAACTCCAAAAGTTAAATAGTACCGGTACACAGTACCGGTACGCTATGTAAAACCCAGTTCAACCCGATTTCGGGTTGTCTCCGTTTCTCACCTTATAAATACATTAGGACGCCTTCTTTAACTCTATTTCACCACTTCCAACCCTAGGAAGCTTTAGAGAGAAAGAGAAAAACACAAGATCAAAAGGGAAAAATCAGAGATTTAAGAGTTGATTCAAGATCAAAACCCTAGTTCTTCAAGAACACCAAGGCAGGGGGTTTTCTTCCATTCTTGTCCATTGATGCTAGGGCTAATATATATGTATTCTNCGTGATTTGCTTCTTAGACTCTGAAGGACTTAACCTTAAGCAAACTTCCATCATTATTTAAGCTTTGATTTAAAGACACCCCGATGTTGATTGAAGTATTTTGATGGATAACAATATAAAATGGGATTATGACTTGGTGCATTGCCTACTCTAAGTATTTGATTCTACTGTTAAGCTTGCTTATATTTTTGGAAGTCAAGGAGATGTGATAACCCAATTTGGATATGTGGAGGTAAGGTCAACTTAGATGTTTTTAAGATTGAAAAATTTTTGAATGATAAAGTTATGAAAAGTTATTTGTATTATTCAAAAGTTATAGAAATTGAAGAGATATGGTAAAGTAACCTCGAATGGGAGTCTAGTTTTTGAAAAATGATTGAAATTGNTAAAATACTACAGGTGAAATTTGGGATTTATGGAATTGTGTGTTATTTGAGGAAAATGTTGGTATTGTATCTCTTGTGTGGTTGTTAGATAAACATGAGCTACTATTGACCGAGTATCTTGGAGTGTGTAGACGCCTTCTTACTCCGTGTGGATTAGAACTTTTTCTACCACTCGTAATGGAGTTAGTGCCTTGCGAGAACTAAACTATTATCGCTTACGGATTACCGTGGAAAAAGGGGTCAGTATGCTACTCTTTGGTTGGATACGTCACTGCCATGGTGTTGGCATACGCCCTTCCTAAAGATTGGACATCCTTACGAGGATTTGTGTGTGGGTTGTACGTGGGCCATGATATTTTCGATGGTATCCGTGCGAGATCTTACTTCATACCAGAGATACGAATACAGTGGTGGGTTATTGTTTATTGTACCAGAAATAGTTTCTACAAAAATTTTGGGAAGTATGAGATTCCGCAAGAACTTGGGATAAACGGTTTATGGTGGAATGGATTATTAGTTGTATATTGGTTTCACTTATGCATTAAATTATTACTGTTGCTTAAACTTGAGATCTATTTAAATGTCCCAATTTTCTTTCAAAATTCATATATGTTATTTGTGAAAGGTGACCGACCATTTTTATATGTTTTTCTAAACCTTGTTCGAGTTTGGGAGGAATATTGCTACAGAGCTTAGTGCTCACCCCCCTACAAACTACATTTTTCAGATTATGTACTAGAGGAGGATTTGAGAATTGAGGAACCGACACACTGGGAGATTCCCGTAGACAGACATGTTGATCCCGAGGTTGACCCTTAGAACAACATTACTTTTTATTCTAGACTAGGAAATTTACTTTGGAAATATTGTGAAGTCTAAACTCTTTTGTAATTCTGCTGCAAGTTTATGTTTAATTCTTTTGAGATGTAATTATCTTACTTTGGGATCATATTCTTTTGGAGATATATTCGTCATGTTTTGGAGTATTCTTTTGGGAACGAGATTGTAAAGATTACCTTTGATGTATGAAATTTATTTATGGATGAATTATTTAGTTGCTCTCATGATGTGAATGATTTTTAGTTTGGAATGTCGTCCAGGGTGGGTTTTGGGGCGTTACAAAGTTTTGGTATCAGAGTTTAGGAATTAGGTCTTACATGAGAGTTGTAGGTTCTGGACTATCATTAGAGCATTAGGTTAGGTTGAAGAAACTTTAGGCTTGAATTTGTTTGAAACTATAGGGTTATAAGATAATTGTGATTTATTGCTTAATTAGGTTAGGAATTAATTATTTGTTTGAATTCATAGATATTCTAATTTTACATCATGTGGTTTTGGACTACAGGAGACGGATGGTAATTTAGCTTTTGGTTTATAAATGATGCTAGGCATGTATCTTTATGCAAGTCATATTATCTATATTGGAGATGTGTATGAGATAGGATTTGTGATAAAAGACACTCAAACACGAGTTGGACAAGT